TATGTTGATCACATCTACTATATGACTCATGTTCGACCCTTCGGTCTCCAGTATTCTGAGACCATGTCTGTACATGCTAGGCTCGCCAAGTTTAACCCAAGTATTCTGCATGTGTAAAACTGTCTTACACTCGTTGTATGTGAACATAAAGTCTATCACACCCGATCATCACGTGGTGTCTCAAAATGACAAACTGTAGCAACAGTGCATACTCAGGGAGAATACTTTTATCTTGAAATTAAGTGAAGGGGTCATCTTATAATGCTATCGCCGTTCTAAGCAAAATAAAATGCATAAAAGATAAAGATCACATGCAATCAAAATATGTGACATGATATGGCCATCATCTTGTACTTTTGATCCCCATCTCTAAAGCATCATCATTATCTCCATCATCACCCGCTTGACACCTTGGTCTCCATCGTAGCATCATTGCGTCAAGGTCGTCACACCAACTATTGCTTCTACAACTATCGCTAACGCATAGTGATAAAGTAAAGCAATTACATGGCGCTTACACTTCATACAATAAAGCGACAACCCAAAGGCTCCTGGCGGTTGTCGATATTACAAAACATGATTATCTCATACATCAACATATATCACATTATATCTTGACCATATCACATCACAACATGCCCTGCAAAAACAAGTTAGACGTCCTCTACTTTGTTGTTGCAAGTTTTACGTGGCTGCTACGGGCTTCTAGCAAGAACCGTTCTTACCTACGCATGAAACCACAACGGTGATTCATCAGGTTTGCTGTTTGAACCTTCTTCAAGGACCGGCTGCAGTCAAATTCGATTCAACTAAAGTAGGAAAAACAGACACCCACCAGCCACCTTTATGCAAAACTAGTTGCATGTCAGTCGGTGGAACCGGTCTCATGTGCGTGGACATCTAAGGTTGGTCCGGGCCGCATCATCCCACAATACCGCCGAATCAAAATAAGACGTTGGTGGTAAGCAGTATGACTATCACCGCCCACTACTCTTTGTGTTCTACTCATGCATATCATCTACGCATAGACCTAGCTCATGATGCCACTGTTGGGAATCATTGCATGGAAAACAAAAAATTTCTACGCACACACAATTATCTATCCATGGAGATGCATAGCAACGAGAGTGGGAAAGTGTGTCTACGTACCCTCGTAGACCGTAAGTGGAAGCGTTTCACAATGCGGTTGATGTAGTCAAACTTTCTTCGCGCTCCAACCGATCTAGTACCGAACGCAAGGCACCTCCGTGTTCTGCACATGTTAAGCTCGGTGGCATCCTCCGCCTTCTTGATCCAGCAAGATGGCGAGGTAGTAGATGAGTTCCAGCAGCATGACGGCGTGGTGATGATGATGGTGATGTGATCTCCGCAGGGCTTCGCCTAAGCACTACAGAAATATGACTAAGGGAGTAAACGGTGGACGGGGGCACCGCACACGGCTAAGACAATGGTGTGTACTTGTGTGGCGCCCCCTCCCCACATATATATAGGTGGAAGGGAGGGAGGAGCGGCCAAAGGAGGCGCCGAAGTAGGAGGAATCCTATTTGGGGTCCCTCCCAAACCGCACCCCCTTTCCTTATTTGGAGTGCGGGGAAAGGCGGGGGAGGGTGCCCCCCCTTTTCCTTTCTCTCATGAGAGGGAAAGGCAGCAGGGGCTAGCCCTTCCCCTTTTCCTTCCCGAGGGCTGGACAAACAAGGAAGGGGCGCACCAGCCCCTTTGTGGGCTGGTCTGTCCCCTCCTTTGGCCCATAAGGCCCGTAACTTGCCAGGGAGTGCCCGGAACCCCTTCCGATGACCCGATTCTTTACCTCTCAACCATTTCGAGACTCCTCGTCATGTCCATGATCTCATCCAGAACTCCGAACAACAATTGATCACCAAAACATATAACTCATATAACACTATATCGTCAACGAACGTTAAGCGTGCGGACCCTATGTGTTCGAGAACTATGTAGACATGATCGAGACACCTCTCCAGTCAATAACCAATAGCGGAACCTGGATGCCCATATTGGCTCCTACACATTCTATGAAGATCTCTATCGGTCGAACCATTATGACAACATACACAATTCCCTTTGTCCATCAGTATGTTACTTGCCCGAGATTCGATCGTCAGTATCTTCATACCTAGTCAATCTCGTTACTGGCAAGTCTCTTTACTCATTCCGTAATACATCACCTTGTGACTAACTCATTTAGTCATTTGCTTGCAAGCTTATGATGTGTATTTCCGAGAGGGCCCAGAGATACCTCTCTGATACTCGGAGTGACAAATCCTAATCTCGATCTATGCCAACTCAACAAACACCTTCGGAGATACCTGTAGAGCATCTTTATGATCACCCAGTTACGTTGTGACGTTTGATACCACATAAGGTATTCCTCCGGTATCCGGGAGTTGCATAATCTAAGTCGAAGGAATATGTATTTGACATTAAGAAAACAATAGCAATAAAACTGAACGATTATTATGCTAAGCTAATGGATGGGTCTTGTCCATCACATCATTCCTCTAATAATGTGATCCCGTTATCAAATGACAACACATGTATATGGTTAGGAAACCTTAACCATCAACGAACTAGTCTAGTAGAGGCTTACTAGGGGCACTATATTTGTTTATGTATTCACACATGTATTTAAATTTCCGATCAATACAATTCTAGCATGAATAATAAACCTTTATCATGAATAAGGAAATATAAAATAACAACTTTATTATTGCCTCTAGGGCATATTTCCTTCACACATTACATATGGTTGGCATGAGTATGAAACATTTCAATATGCACTTTTTTCACATGACTATGTTACTTGTGCATTTTATCATACTCGAGAGTTACACTTGGTGAACCAATCAACCCTGATTGAGTTTTTAACATAAGAATCACCTTCCAGCAACTTATTTATGCACTTTATTTGTATTTTTGTTTTATCCTGAAAATGCAAAAATATTATTTGTCGCATTATATTTTATCTGCAATTAGCAAGACTAGCCTGGTTGATACCCTTGTTGGGTACACAAATGAAGTTTTACTTGTGTTGCAAACACTTATCCCTATTGCAGAACAATATGACCTCCATGGGTTCGTACCTTGGTTTCCATGTAAGGGAAACTTATAACTTGCTACAAGTGGGAGCCCGACTCGGTATTAGACTATATACTTAGCAATCAGCAGGGAGATCATATTTGCCGCCCTCTATGGCAAAGGTCGACTTTAGTAATAGAAAATAGGGCAATTTTGTTCATGTTCTCGACAAATTCTGTACTGGGAAAAACCTAGTATAATAGAAGGTTGAAGAAAGAATAATGAAATTAAAAAATATAGTGAAATTTAGAAATATGATCGCATTTTTGTGTGTGTTTTTGAAACAATTGTCTCTAATTCTAAAAAAAAATGTACTTTATTTACTAAAAAACAAGTTTTTTTTTAAAAAAAATGTTTTAAAATTTGTGAACTTTTCTGAAACTTGATCATTTTTTATTATATGAATATTTTTAATTTCAGAAATATTTTAAAAACTGCAAACATGTTTAAAGGAAAATACCCCCCCCCCAATTTATTTTAATAAGAGTAGGTAAAACCGATATAGAAAACAACATGAAAATGAGAAAGAAAACAGATAGTAACCTCCTAGGAGTTTCTTGTTACCAGAAAAACCAAACCATGTGTTAAAATCAATGTTACCCTAATGGGCAGCCAAATCGCTAGGTCATGTGTGATGCAGTGACATTTGAAGCAGAATGTGTCTAACACGCAAAAAGGGATCCCAATTGCATGAGTTTTCTCCTACATTTGTGGCTCCGCTGGCGAGGCCAGGTGCTCTTTCCCCCTCCGCTGCTCTGCCGACGAGTGGTGGAGGAGACCCCAGTTCTCCAACTTAGCTGTGTAGTTAGGGTTAGGACGTGCGTTTCTCCCGTCATCGTTTGACCTCGGCGGTTGGAATAAATTTTCCCTAGTCCTGTCTCCATCTCGGCATCGCCATGGCGGCGAGGTCGAGGGATTCATGGGAGATTGAATTTTGTTGTTTCTTTGGTGCAAAAGATCTAGTGTTCCCTGTTGGGCTGGTGGTGGTTTCCCTAAGCGGCGCCGTCCATTTGCATGGGAAGGTGATGGTCCAAGAACTGGGATGGTGGTCTGTTATGGATGACGGTTCCTGTGTTGTGCTTCGACCACGTCGGTGGCAAACAACGGTTTCGGGTCACGAGGAGTGTGGGAATGTCCCCCGATCAACGCGCCACAATGACTTCGGCTCCGCCGACCAATGGCGGAGCTATGTTGTGACCGAATGGGCCATGGCTCGCCCAGATTTTCAATTTTCAGCAAAATTATAGAAATGTACCTAGGCCCAACCCATGAATACACAACACTACAAGGCAACAACCTAGATTTAGCGTCAAATTCAGCCCGGCTTGCCCAGTTTTCTGTTTCTAGCTCTACCACTGCCGCCAACGGCGAGCCTCTCAATCGGCTCACAAAGCCCAATTGGACAATGGTATTTCCTCAAATCCGAAGATGACATGTGGCGGCGATGGCGATTGCAGTTATTCCTAGAAACTTTATTGTATTTTCTATCTCTTTGGAGGATTTTTCGCTAGTGTTCTTGGACTTGTATCTTCCTTCGTCCTTTCTGGGTGATTCCAATAGTGTGCGTTGTATCGCAACTTGTGATGAATGAATTAGTGACAATATTCTCAAAATAAAAATTGCATGAGGACAAATCTGTAAATAAGCCGAATACAGAATGCCGCCCAATGGGCTGATACGGGAATTGTCACCAGAGGCACAAAACTAGCGAAGCAGGCCACATGGGGACAAATCTTGTCTAAAAAAAAGATGGGGATAAATCAAAGTGAACTATTTTTCAGAAGGGAATTTTCCCTGTGAAGACCCTCCACCGGGAGTCACCGCTCGTCGGGTCTCCGTCCCCCTCTTTCCCCGCTCCCCCGAATCAGAACTCCGACCTCCGGAGTCGCGCTCGGCAAGCAAGAGAGATGTCTCTAATCCGAATAGCTTTTTCTTTGGTCCTCCTCCTCGCCGCGGCGGAGTCCGCGGCGGCGACGCGTTCACCGTCGGCCTTCGTGCAGAACGCTATCTACTCCAACCGCATCACCATCTTCTCCAAATCCTACTGCCCGTAAGCCGTTCCGAACATCAATTCCTAGAAATTATTTTTGCTTGTGATTTTGGGGGATTTTCAGGTTGTGTATGCGTATATGCGCGTGTGCAGCGCACGGTTGTGGAGTTCACGCCGCGTTGTTGTGAAAGATTCCGTGAGGTTAATTGCTTACTAGCACACGTTTAACAAGGGAAAACGGATCCGGATGTCGTGAATTGGACGGATTTGTGTCTAGTAGATGACAGAAGCTTGAATTAGGCCCATCGCGTGTGCCATGGCAGTGAATCGCTGGCGGTTGCTTATTAGCTTAGGTAGGCCGCACACTGTGGCCAGAGCTAACAGATTTATTTGATCAATTGATGCAATTGAACAGTTAATTTGCTATAATTTCAATTTGCTGGCTTACTGCTGTGTGCTGTGCTGCAGAGCTGTCCTAAATGTGCTGTTACTCTCTCCAGATCCTTCTGTTTAGGTTATGTTCACGATGTTGGTCTATAAGAGAATACTGTGCTATAGTAGGTATGTTTAAATCATCCTGCACGGAATGTCGATTGGTAATTTAGAAATTATATCCGGGTAGGCGGGTACTAGCATACCATGTGACTGAACTTTAGGGTTCATAGATTTAGGTGTTAGTTGGCTTTACGATGAGTTGAGGGGAAAACTATTATTGATGATTGCTTAACAAGCACTAGAATAATACCAGCATATTTGCATCTTAGGAACTACTGCAGTTGGGATGTAATTCGTAAACAGGAAAATGTTCCATCTGTGGCGTCTTCATTTCTGATACCACTGCTACAAACTATTATTGTACTGTTAAAACATAGAAGGATGAACCACATAAAGGCCAATCATGATATTGTTTTATATGTCGTCTGTCATTAGAACCGATACAATTTACATGTGTTTCTTTCAATAAATTTGGTCACTCTGACTATTGTTTTTAACATTGACTCCTTCGGATGTTTAAAATAGACCATTCGGTGGAATATCGTATGTTACATACCTGGCCGCTAGGTAGGATGTTCGTCTTTCTTTCGATAGTTAAAATGACAAATTAAAGATATTCGGTTGCTAGACCATAGAAGATGAAAACAGATAATGGAAGTTCCTTCTTGAAATGTGGATACTAGAATCTGTATCTGAAATTCTTGAGTAGTTATAAACTCCAAGAATCAAAGATTGAGTAATCTTGAAGAACAAGATCATATATCGTCCTTAAAATATTTGTCCTATGCACCTCTCATATGGGTTTCTTGGAAAGAGGAATACCTCTTGTATGGTCTGACTACCTAAGGATTCCTTGTATCAAGTACTAACACTACTCCATACTGTTAGTTATCATTTGTCTCTTTACTTCTCTTCTTCTAGGTACTGTATGCGTGCTAAGCGAATATTTAAAGACCTCAATGAAGATCCTTACGTTGTTGAACTTGATCTCCGAGGTAATGGTCCAGATCATGTGGAACCCAGTCCATTTGCATTTGTCAAGGATTTGTGTATGCTGTTAGTAATATATCATATGTATACGCCATGCAGAGGATGGCCGAGAAATTCAAGGTGTTCTTCTAGACCTAGTTGGGCGCAATACTGTGCCACAGGTGTTTGTGTATGGCCACCACGTTGGTGGCTCAGATGGTCAGTGCTCAAACTTCGCTGCTGCACTTATGTCTGTATGTCACATGTTAGTACCTGTAACTAATTTTAATAATCTTTCACGGTGCACCTTCCAGATACAAAAACTGCTCTTTCAGACGGGCAACTTCAGAAGCTTCTTGGTAAGAGTCAGTCGCAGTGATGATCACTGCCGAAGCTTGGTATTGTCCAAAACTTGTGAAATGTCTAACATGCGGTGTTCCTTATGGAGGAATGGAACCTTACACTCTTTAGGAATATGAACAGAGTGTTGCAGCTCATGCTAGGATTTTTTTTTTAGTTGAAGTGTTGTGACAAAAATCCATGTGCTGGATTGTATGATTTTCTCAAGTGCATATACATTTATCTGTTGTGCCTGTTTTTATTACTGTTTGTGTTCATAAGTACTCTACTTCCTCTTCCATTATGTATCATCTGACTTACTTGGTTTCAGTCTTCATATTATTGGAATTTTATTGGAATGTCATTGCCAAACGAAGTAGTGAAATGTTGTCCTGTAGATCCGAGTATCTTTGCAGCATTCCTGAACTTGCAAAGATACGAGTGCTGGTTCAAGCAGTGCTGACTGCAATCCCCTGTTCCTCATGTCGTTGAACCCACCTCCATGGGTTTTCAAGGAGATTGATAAAATTAGAAGAGCTTTGCTGTGGTGGGGAAGCGAATCGGTCGCTGGTGGCCACTGCATGGTGAATTGGAAAACAATATGCAGACCAAGAAGATTTCACCGCACAAAAAAACCCATGCTCCTATTCAAGCTTGACATTAGGAAGGCATTCGACTCCGTTAGGTGGGACTACTTGCTGGAGATGTTGAGCCATCATTGCTTCCCTACTTGCTTCCGAGACTGGGTTTCGGCCCTCCTCTCCTCGGCATCCTCGAGAGTCTTACTAAATGGAATTGCTAGTGACCCCATCAAGCATGGTTGTGGCCTCAGACAGGGTGACCCGCTTTCCCCTTCGCTCTTCATCCTCACGATCGACCCGCTTCACCATATCCTCAACAAAGCCACTGCACATGGGAAGCTTCACCCCCTGCCTGGGAGGCACGCGGGGATTCGTGCCTCCCTGTATGCCGATGCTGCTGCTGTTTCTTGTGCCCTTTATAAGGAGGATGTCCAATTCTTGTCCACCATGCTAGCTTCCTTTGGTGAGTCCATGGGCTTGTCCACTAACTGTGTCAAGAGTATTGTTGCACCCATCAGATGTGCCAATGTGGACCTCGATGATATTCTTCAATCCTTCCCGGCTTGTCGTTCCTCCTTCCCTATCCGCTACCTTGGTCTCCCTCTCGCGAGCAAGATACTTAAGAGGATTCACTTACAACTTCTAGAGGACAAGGCGGCTGGCAAATTGGTGCCTTGGAAAGGCAAGCATGTTGCTATCTCGGGTCGCATGACTTTGGTCAAGGCGGTTCTCATGGCGGTGGCCATCTATCACATCACTCCGCTGGACCTACCGGTGGAGGTCCTAAAGGCAATTGACAAGCTGCCATGTGCCTATCTGTGGGCCCGAACAGACAAGGTTACTGGTGGCAAATGCAAGGTTAACTGGGAACAAGTTTGTAAACCAAAGGAATATGGAGGTCTCGGCATTCTAAATCTCGGCAAGTTTGCCACTGCCCTCCGGCTTCGGTGGCTTTGGCTAGACTGGGATGAACCCCCGAGGGCGTGGTGCGGACAAGAGATGCCGTGCATAGTTGTTGACCGTGATCTTTTTTGCGGCTGCGACCAAGGTGACGATTGGTGATGGGAATAAAGCGATTTTCTGGGAGTCGTCTTGGCTAGAGGGTATAAGACCCAAGGACATTGCACCAAAGATCTTTGCAATTTCTCGCAAGAAAGGCGGAACGGTTGCCCAGACCTTGAGGGATCATCATTGGATAGCTCAAATTGACACCCAAAGCGGCCTCACGCTTGAGCATCTTCAGCAATTCTCGGCCCTGTGGGAGAAGCTTGCGGGCGTTGTCATCCAACCAGGCATCAAAGACTAGCATTTTGTGGAAGCTCGCCAATGATGTCAACTATTTCGCTAAGTCTGCATATTTGGCCCGGTTCGCTGGACTCACCCACTCTAGCTTTTAGGTCTCGATTTGGAAGGCTTGGGCTCCTCCTAAATGCAAATTCTTCGCCTAGTTAGTCAATCAAAACAGGATTTGGACCGCGGATAGGCTGCAACGCCGAGGATGGCCAAACTGTGACCGGTGCCCACTTTGCAATCAGGTGCACACCAGCCCACCTCCTTTTCAAGTGCAGGTTCTCTCTCCGGGTCTGGGATGAGGTGTTCTCCTGGCTCGGGCTTGCTATTCCCACAGCTACTTGGCACCAATTCGACACAGTTAAATCTTGGTGGGATGAGCTACTCTCGAACAACATCCAACCGGTTAAGGCCTTATCTTCTCTGCTACTTCTTGTGGGGTGGGAACTTTGGAAGGAACAGAATGCACACGTCTTCAGAAGCAAGGCGACGCCGGTGGCGATCGTCACACGGATCATCAAGGAAGAAATATCTATTTGGGCTATTGCCGGTGACAAGAACTTGAGCAATGTAATGCCGCGAGAGTAATCCGTTTAGGCTTTTGCTGTTTCACGACATTTCTGTAACAATACTCTCTTCTGAATTAATGAAAATGGCAAATCTTTTGCCTGGTTTCAAAAAAAAAAGATTGCCAGAGGTCACATCTTGGACCTTTACACCATACACTCACCGTTCAGGTTGAGACTTGCATGGCGGAGAACAAGCCCTGGTGTTCTCTCTTCAACGCCGCGACAAGAGTTTAGATTTTTTTTTGAAATGGAGACAAGAGTTCAAATTGGTAATGGGAAGAACATGTATTTCTGGACTATCGTCGATGAGCCACCGACCAGAAATCATGCACCTCCACTATCAGGGCCATTGTATTTGGATCATATGACATTATTTGTGTGTGTGTGTGTGTGTGTGTGTGTGTGTGTGTGTGTTCTATTTCATTTTGCATTATGGTCCGGTTCTTTTGGCCGATTCTCCCAGAATCTTGAGAATCGACCCTCCACCTAGCTTCTTCCAGAATCTTGAACTCATTTTCTTTTACAATCCTAACTTTGAGAATAGACACTCCACCCAACTTCTCCCAGAATCTTCAACCCATATATGGGTTTAAGATTCTGGGAGAAGCAGGTGGTTCTTAAGATTATGGGAGGATTGGCCAAAAGAACTGGGCCTATACCTCTTTTATGCTTGAGAGTTCGACCCACCTTAATTTTTCCACAACGGCTCTTTGTAGGTTGACTGAATTTGCAATTTGGACAAGTCAATTTACTGGGAGGAGGAAGAAAGTTGGAGGGAGAATAAAGCACATCAACTGGATCTAAAATTGACTTACCCAAAATAATTTTTCAGGTAGGGCAACATCCTGGTATCACGCAAGAG